ATCTATCTATCTATCTATCTATCTATCTATCTATCTATCTAAAATTATCATAGAAAAAGAGGTCTTAAATTTGAAAGGATAAAGAGAGTGGCACAAAAGGGGCTGGAAGGGGAGAATTGGAAGGGGTTGGAGGGAGGAAAGGGAAGGGGTAAATGGTATAATTATATTTTAACTAAGGTTTTTAAAAAAGAGAAAGCAGACTGAGCAAGCTCTGGGAACCAAGCCAGTAAGCAGCTTTGTCCATGGCTTCTGCTTCAGTTCCTGCCTCCAGGTTCCTGACTCTAGTTCCTCATTGCCTTCCTTCAAGGGTCTGTGACTTGGAATATTTAAAGAAACCCCATTTTTCATTCCTAGCCAAATAATTAAATTAAATTAAAATTATATTATCTCATTACCTTTCTAGAAAAGAACTGGTGGTATGTCTGTCATTCTAATTTTACTGCTTCCTCCTAAAATGTCTTTTTGTTGTTTTGAGCATAAATTGGTATTACACTAGATTCTGCAGATGTTAATCTTAAGTATGAAGTCCTCTGGGCTTTTCTTTGAAATATTTTCTTTTATATACTCTTCCTTTTTCAGCCATGTTGCCTCTGAAGGATCTCTTTGGAGGCTTACCAAGGACGTCCAGCTGCACTGTGAAAGTGGCTTCCCCAGCTCTGTTCCTGGCCACACATGCATACGACCCTGCATCTGATGTTCTGACCACTTCGAAGATGAGTGAGTGAAAACCCTTCTCAGACACTATCATTTTGTGCAATTCATCTGATTGAACTGCTCTCCCATTTAGATACCATGAGACATCAGGGGCCGGCAGTCCACTCACCTAGAAACAAAATACAGCAGTTTTCTATCTATGATTTAACAACTTTGTCATCTGGATCTGCGATTGAAAATGGAAAGCAGAAATTCAAAATATCTTTATTGTAATTTTTACTGTGAAATTAAAAACTTGAATTCAATATATTGTTTTTAGACTATTTCAGACTACACTTAATTCTTTCAAATACAACCACAAACACTTTAAGACCTCTTTTGGTTACTTTATCTAGAACATTAATTTATGTTTTATGTCTACAGTTTTGTACATAAGCACTAGTTGTTTATATGTTTTTATATAAGACATTCAATCCTAATAGTAACTGTCATTGATAGGGTATCTGAAAAAATATTTTACAAGGAAAAGTTCTTAGAATGAGGATAATCAAAATGTGATGTGGTCTCTTCTAAAGTGCTGTTCTAGTTTGAAAAACTAGGAAAGAAGAAAGCTGAGTATCTTGAAGTGGTGAAGGACAACTACAGGTGCAAGTACATCAGACAGTCTGTTGTGTGTGTGTGTGTGTGTGTGTGTGTGTGTGTGTGTGTGTCCAGTACACCTGTTTATATCCAGTACATCTGTTTATTGTGCCAATCTTCCTAAATTTATGAGGTAAGTACTATTTGTCATTCCCAATTCACAGATGAGACAACAAAACACAGAGGGGTTAAATAACTTGTCTAAGTTTACACTGCTGGAAAGTGGCACAGCCAGGATGTAACTTGTGTCAAGTTAGCTTCAGAATTTGTGTCCCTTTTTATTGTACATAGTTTTTAAAAGCTTGGTGGCAAGCTGTAAAAGTTTGGGAAAGACGGCATTTCTCCAAACTTGTCCCATTTCTAATGTGTCCTTATTATATTTAAAAAGACTTACTTTGAAGTCCATTCTGCAGAATCGTCCTTCTTCAATGGACATGTTTTCTGGAACTTGGATGAAGCGTGGTGGGTAAAACTTCTCCTGGATGGCATCCTGGTCATTTGCCTCTGCTCTTGAGGATGATCTACTTCTACAACAATATTTTAATAAAGACAGTGCAGAAATGTCCTTGCTTTTCTATTCACACAATACAATTTGGCCATCATGCTAGTAAAACCAGAAAGTCTGCTTTGGTCTGATGGCATGGTGACAATTGTGATAGACCTTAAGGGGAATGTGTTCAGTGGCTTATTTGATGACTGTCAGAAATATAACAATTTAGAGACATCTAGTATAAATTGAACACTGAATAACTATCTCCTTAAACTTTTCCTTAAATTGATCAATGGGTACCTCATAGTTAGTACTGGATTTTCCTCGTTGTGACAAAATTATTTAACATGGAAGCATGGTCCTGGATGTTTGACTAAAATGTTTAAAAAATACCCTTTGAGGTAGTTCTGATAATTAACATTTAATATTTGAGCATTGTCTTTGACATTTTAAAATCACACCATTTTATTGCTTATGCTGCTTGAGATGAAAACAAAAGTGAGAAAGTTAACATGCAATTGGTCCTTTCAAATGAACTAGAAGTAAGCAATTGTAGTTGAAGGAATGTTTCTGTTTTGGCTGTGTTCAGTCATGATTGGCTTTGTGTATCTACCAATTAAAATACAGCAAATGAATCACCTTAGTAAGAACCCCAAAGAATTAAGAGGATACTTTCACAGATGTGATTTATAAAAATCAGCTGAGCCAAAAATTGATGGTATCTTACATTTCAGATGACTATTTTATGATAAAGGAAAATGTGTTCCTCTGATATGTTTGACTTGGGGACACTGTACAGGTTGTACTTTAGCAAAGCAAGAATAGACATGAGGTCACTTGTGCTGGCACTAGGCAGTGGGTGTCAAGCTACTGCCAAGAAGTTCCATCAACAACAGTAAACATATATTAGACTGGAAAATACTTCTCCTTTTAGCTCATGGCATAAAATCCTGTTGGACACCATTAGAAATATACATAAAATTATAAAAAACTTAAAACATGAATTAGTCCTGCTAAATAGGGGAACATTTAGCTTTTATGAAGCTTTTAGTTTATATTGAATGCTAGAAAATTATTTCTACTTGAGAACAAAGTTAGGAATTGATGAACATTATAATTGAATTAATTGATTATATATGTAGTGCCTGTTTTGTATAAATGTTTTTTTGGCACAGTGGAAAATTGAAAAGAAATAGAAAATATAGTCTCAGCCCAAATATCTCTGAGATATTTGTACAAGAACACAGGGAATCTGAGTACAAAAATTTATTTTGGGATGAATCTTTTAGCCAGTGCATTTTTGCTTTTTAAAACAATATAAAAAATTGGCTAGTCTTAAGAATCCTTAAATAAACTGTCTAAACAATTTATCAATTCAGCAAACAGCCTTTTTAAAATAAAAAATAAAAAACAAAAATTAAAACTAATAATTTGATAAAACTCAAAATCTTCAAAATAATTTTTTTTCTAAGATAAGGTTTCTTTGTGTAGCCCTGGCTGTCCTGGAACTCACTCTGTAGGCCATGCTGGCCTTGATTGGCCTGCCTTTGTCTCCTGAGTGCTGGAATTAAAAGCAGTGCACCACCACCGTCTGGCTAAAAATAAGTTGTTTTTTTTTAACTTCTGTTTTTAGTGTGTTATGCTCATAGAGTATCTCAATTATAGCAGAGATGTATTTTTGTTTATAGTTACATTGTAATTGGACAACATTTCTTAATACTTAGGGTTAATGTTTGGGTGTATAAAATAGTAAGATTTACCCTTTCTGCCTTCATTATGTTTCTGCCACTATCTTCTTGTCCTGGTGCTGTCACCTTCCTTTTAAACGCTGTTATAAATACTAAATAATTTTGTAAGTAATTCTACAAGAGAGATGGAGTTGTCTTATTCTGGCTGTAACTGCCTATGCCATAACCAGAGTTCAATGCAGTTGATGCTGCATATAAATTGGTTGAGCAGATGGAAGAATGAAGAATTGCTCCGTGTCTAAGACCTACCCCATTAGACTCTGATCTATCCTTTCTAGTTGGTCCAGTTGCCTTTACAATAAACAAAAGTCTCTTGTTCTCATTTCAAGTTTATTTTCTCACTGAGTTCCCAGCTCCATCTCTGTTCCTCATAGCTTTGTAGACTACATAAGAGGGAGTAACAGCATACAGAAGGATATAAAAAGGGTAACAGCTCTTCAGCTTTTCCCACTGTGCACTTGTTTTTGAGTTAAGTAACCTGTTATAATTAAGTTGGTCAGGTGTAAGTCTGTGTGTGTTCATTGTATCCTGAAGTTCATCCTCTTTTTTTTTTCTTTGAAAATGAACTTTTATTAATCTTAGAGATGTTACTCTATAGATTCATTTTTAGTTTGTTCATGAAAAGGCATATTTTAACTCGGGAGCATGACCAAAGGAAGTAGATAATTCACAAACATGACTTAAAACATCAAACAACTTAAAAATTGCAAAAAGGTGTCCACAGCTGGCCACAATTGTGTGCCCCTCTTGTCCCAGGTACTTAGCAAGCTGAGGAAGGAGGATCAATTCAGCCACGTTTAGGGCTGAAGCTCCTGTGTTAAAAAGAAAAAAAAAGGCCATAGTTACGTTTCAGTCATTTTTATTTACCTGTGGAGAATCTTGGGCATCGCTGTTTTGAGCCTGAAAGACAGCAGCGGCATTCTGTGGACCTAGCAACCTTCGAGCCATCTTCTCCTCATAGGTCAGCCTCTAGAGGGCGGTGATGAGATTTAGTCAGAGGTATGGGAACAGATAACCTCGAAAACCATTACTCTAAGTCAGTACTTCAAACTGTGCTCCTATTTTTCGAATTATAGTTTCTATGTTTCCAAAAGAGCCTTGTCTTCAAAGATGAGCCACTAATTCAATTGTATATTAAGAGCTATATAGTAATTATAGCTGTTTTTATTTGTCCATAGACTCACTAAGTTGCAAAACAGTTGAGTTGGTAAAATTTCCCACTAGTTACTTGGTAGGCAGACATTTTGTGAGAAGGTAATGGTTAGTTTTAATTTTTGAGAGAAGATTTCATGGAGCACAGGCTGGCTTTGAAATTACTATCTAGTCAAAGCTGACTTTCAACTTCTGATCCTTCTGCCTCTACTCTTCCAACCCCAAGGGCAGGGAGAATAGAAATGTGCCAATATATTGAATTTTTCAGAAAAAAAAATGTGCAAGACAAAACTTCATTGCACTATCTAGGTTTTTTTTTTTTTAAAAGCTGATTCATCCATTTACTATAGAAACCCAAAATGTGGACTTCATGTTAGAGTAATAACAAAGTGCAAGGAAATATTCTTTTTTAAAAACACGAGTCCTATTTCTTGCAGCCTCTATGGGCATAGATCTATGAGAGACAGAAGTAATGTGTGTGTGTGTGTGTGTGTGTGTGTGTGTGTGTGTGTGTGTGTGTGTGTGTAGAGGTGTTGGGTATCAATCTTATGTTAGGCAAGTGTCTAACCATGAGTTATATTCTCAGTCTCAGAACTTTCTTATTGGAATTAGATCTTTAATAATTTAATAGGCCTTCTGTACAAAAATGATAGCTTGCTCACTTGATTTCCATTATGAAGAAGAGTGTCCTTGCATTTCAGCTTTCTCTCCAAATCTTGGATCAATGCTTCTTTTGATCCTTGGATCTCGTGGTCAGGAGTCCTTGGAGTGGTCTTACCATTTGCAGTTGGGGATGGCATAGCATTTACTGGTTGGTTGACTGAGGATTGTTGATAGCTTTAAAAAAACCCAAAAATGATAGAATTGAATTCATTCTGTAAGCCATCTTTAGATATATTGAGTTTATCATTCAGAGTTTCTAGTGTTGTTAAGAACACCAATGACCTTGATAGCAGCCAACAAGGATGCTATAAAAATGGCTACTGCCTTTATCTTTTCTCTTGGCTGGAGAAAACTGTGTAGTTGGAGGAAGAATTTTGACATAAGGAAGACATCTAAAAGATCCTCTTTAAAGAATGTGATGGTTAAAGGGTACTTTCTAGTTCTTTCAGACTGATTGTTGAATTTCTTATCTGGTGGAGAGATGGATATCAGGCAGTGGTGTGCTTCAACTGCCTCTCCTGGGCTTGAGAGAGCTGACTTTTTTAGGATCTCTTCCTAGCAACATGTGATCTCAGGCTCAGGCTTGAAATTGATGGTGTCAAAGTCTTTATACCAGAAAAATTGGTAAATGTTGCCCATCATGGCTCTTTCTTTTAGAGCTGAATTGACTAGTACATTATCTGTGTTTTGTGAATATTCTACCGCTCGCTCCTCAATGGGATCTCTGACTTTCCTATTAATTCCCAATTTCAGTTAATTTTATACTTCAAATGATCTAATCCACTGAATAAAAATTACTTTTAAGGCAATGATGATTTCTTCAGTATTGTTAAACTGATTATTTTTTGGTAGAGAAAGAAAAGGATAGTTAGAGGAAGATAGAGCCTGAAACTTAAGTTAAAAAAAAAAGGATTTGGGAAAAACCCACCAATCTGAAAATAATTTGAAGAACTTAAGTTCTTGTATCATATTCTGATGCTAAATGTTTAGCTAAGGTATCCTGAGCCCTTCCTCAAGTTTCCATATTGACATTGGTAAAGAGCAGGGACAGCAATTAAGGGATCCTATATTGTTGGCTGTTAAGTGGCTCAAACTTTTCTTAGTACTTTACATCAATTTAACTTAGATTGCTGATTTAGAGCCCTACATGAGAAAATTTGTGTCAGTCTAGTTCATATGGGGAAACTGGCCACTGCTCTAATGAATATTTTGTGATGCTCACAATAAATGTTCCCTAGTCATCCAGATGCAAATGAGATCAAGATTTACAAGAGGACTTGTGATTCAGAAGAAATGAAGACTGAGTGGAGCCAGGGTCTTCACTTTGTGGGCTGGGGGACCTGGTGATTATCACAGGGTAGAATGTAAACAGATTGATGAGTAACAGGTGCCATCACTCGTGACCATGCCACGATAGGCCCACCACTATAAAGCATAGCTTTAGGGGATACTGTCAGTTGATCTAACAGATGTTTATTTTATTACAGCCAAGGTATACTGTCTTAGAAACTGATGATACCTATTCTCCCTTTACATTTTTGATATTTGTGTTTTGTTGTCTATACCAATCCTTAACTAAAGTCTGATTTGTTCAATAAAGTAGTCAAGTCAATCAAATATGTAGGTAAATAATGAGGCCCCCTCCCTTGAATAAATTCTGAGGCTGAAGCAGTGGAATTTCCTTGGCTCCATAATATTCCTGTAGTGTATGCAATGATAATTGCCTATAATGACTTTCAGTTCTAGAGTCTCATCTGTTTGAGGGCTGTATCTGCTTGGGAAAGTGAATTAGAATTAGACAATTCTGTTCTCATCATCATATTTCATAGAAAGCCTGAGGGACTGTTAATGATAGCCAAGCCTGAGAACCACAAGATAGCCTCAAGTTAGTTAATTCACTACATGCCCTCATTGTCTGCACACTAGGTGGTATATGTACTAGAATTATATGTTCTTATTATAAACTAGTGTTAGGTTTTTACACTGCTTTATAGCTCTTTTTTTTCTGTCACTGTTAATCCTGATTGTTAAATGTGATACACCTCATAAAACTGGATCACCCAGCAGGCTATTTGCCAGATGCCTCATGGCAAGTTCTTTGGAAAGAATAATTAGAATTAAAGAACTCTCCTCACTTTCCACTGTGTGGTTTGATCAACTGCTATCACAGTTGCCTGAGAACTTCCTATCATTGAGGATTGAAATAGGCTTTCAAGAGTCTTTAGGTCAGGAGCCAAGGGGTTACTTTAGAAGATGGAGCAATCCTGAGCCCATCACAACAATGGGGGAATTGTGCACAAATGTTCAAAGGGCCAGGGCTTTCCACCCTGTACAGCTGGACTCAGAGTGGGCATCAAGTAGTGATGGCAAGATTAGAAGAGTTATCTACTGTTGCTGAAAATGGAACAGCTAAAGCTGGACCTTTGATCTCTGGTTTGGGGACCTCCTAGGCTTGCTTTCTTAGTCTCTATTTTTGCCTCCCCTTAGTTCTGCACAAAGCTAGGTGTGTGGCTGAGGATCTGTGAATATTTGTTTGATAATGTTTTTTTCTGAGCAGAACTGGAATAGAATTGAAAGACTTTACTAGGGGAAATATTACAACCAGAGTATGTTATATATTTAAAATCCTGATATAAGAAACTTAGAACTATTTAGAAGCTACATGGAGAATGGTCATTTTAGCAATTGTGAACAAGAAAGAACAAGAAAGTATGAAATGAATACAATGGGAATTTGTGGGAAGTTTGGGGAAGACGGGGTCCTTTTGAAATGTGATATTTCAGGTCAGGAACCACTGTTCATCAGCCATTATATATAATTCTGTTTAATATCTATAGGATTTCAACATGTTTTTGAGTGTCCTGGTTTTTATATTTAGGGAATAGATTTCACTACGAGTTCAATTGCTGTGATCAGTTCATCTGCTTTTCTGGCATTTCAACCAATGATATAATTTTTGCAAAAACTAGCTCAGCTATCTTGTTGCTGAACATTCTAATCATTCATATAACTAGATTGGGTGGGTATCATGACTTGATACCTGCCCTAATCTATAGGCAAACCTTGTACTTCTACAGGTCCCTTTTCTGTTCAATATCAAACAAATCTCCAGAGAAGGCAGAAACATTAGCAAGAGTTCCAGTAAGATTCCAACAAGACATGGTCCTCCAGAGAATGTTTGAGATGCCTCTGGTTTAATCTCTGATATTCTCTCCAGCCAAGAAATATGAAAACTGATAGCCCTAAATTTAAATAAGTACAAAGTATTCAGTTCATGTTTTAAAAAAAGCTCAACTCCACATGGTGTCCCTTCCTTGGGCTGAGTTCTTTCGGGACAGTCTCTGGCTGTGGAACTATAGTGCCTGCTTGCATAAGGCTGTAGGTATTCGCTCCTGGATTTAGACCATCTGACAAAGCTCACCAAGTTATGGCTTCACTTACCAACACAAACCTGACAGCAATGAGCATTCTGTTCCAGCCTCCCTTCTGATCCCAGTACAGACTGTTTATACAAGAGACTGCCTGAGTTCCAGACTTTTAAAAAGTGTTAATTTTAAATTATATTAGGCAAGTGGATAGTCAGGATTAGAGGGAGAAGCGGGTAGGAAGAAAAGACTATGGGAAGAAACTTAATAGCCTTTGCTTATGAGGGAGGAAATCCTAGCCGCAGAGGAGCAGACAGGTGTTCTGCATCCCAGCCAAGCCAGACCTCAGAGGAATTAAATTTGCAGTAAGAGGAACTTAACTTAGAGCTAAGGAGAAAGTTTACCATTCCCTGGAATGTTAGGAATCTATTTTTTCTTTCTGAAGATGATAAATAATAGGGATGTAATTGTGTACAACAGTAGGTAATTTGAGTTTTGCTCAGCCTGGACACTGGAGAATGCTTCAATGACCTCTTATTGCCAGTATCCTGGCTCAGCGAGAATGAAGCCCACATTACCACTTTGCACTCTAAACAATAACAGCAGCTCACCCTCAAATCGCCTCAGATAAATCTCATGGCACATGTGGTGTACAGATTCACTTACTTGGAGTCCACAGTGGATGGGATTTTACTGCTTATGTAATCAGGTTGAGATGGTAATATAGTAACCTTTTGGGCTGGGTTGGGGCCAGCAAGCTGCTGGGAAGCAGGATAAGCAGAGGAAGACACGGTGATGTGGGAGCTCACTGTGGAGGAGGCAGAAAACCTCTGCTCTGTGCACTGGCGGGGCTGGAAGACAAGAGAAGACTGTTTGGTCTGGCTAGGGAAGCTAGAGGTTTCCGGTCCTGGAGGCTGCAGTCTGGAGCCACATGGATTTTGGGACTGGATGAAGTGTTTTGGACGTTCGTAGTTAAACATGCTTAGCGGGTATGTGGAAGATGGTTTTGTTCCCAGATGGGTAGAGTCCTGACCGTGGTTGCAAGCGGGAATTACAGGCAGTTGCAGCAAGTCAGAGGCAACCTTAGTCTGGCCCTGCTTGTTGAGATCTTGAGAACACTGTACTCCTGGCTTCCTTGGTTTTTTCTTGAATATTGTTTCTGAAAAGGGGGAAAATGTTTAAGTTACAAGTATAGTCTAAACCATATCATTTATTTCACATCGTCAACAAAAGCTTATGCGTTTTTTAGGGTCACCTCAGGGTAGAGTTTCACTGCCTTCTATCTTTTCTCTTTATCTCCGTTTTTGCCCAGCTGACTTTCCTACTTAGAATAATTATGTAAAAACGATTCAGTGTGCTTGCTTATCTCTGGGTGAAAGAATATGTAGCATTTCAAGATATGCACCACAAATTTTTTCAGGGATCATTTTTTTGATAAGAAATCATTTTGATGTCACTCAGTGTGATAGTTCTAGAGCCTCACGATTAGCTTCCACCGAGACGCTACAGACTCCTCACCCTCAGAGATGTAAAGATTTAAAATCAAAATCAATAGCAGTTAATGTATGTCAGTCTTCATCAAGACAAATTCTCCCGGTTTCTCATCAGAGTAGACTAATATCCCTCTTGATACATCAGCTAACATGACTTTAATGTCCATTTGCCTTTCCTCAATTTCAAAAAGTAGAATGAACATCTAATTTATTATGGGCAATTTTCAATTATTTACTATTATTATAACTCACTGATTCTTTTTCTGCCCTTGATTCAATACTGATCATACTACCAATGTATGGTGACTAAGGACTGACTGTATGCTTGCTACACGTGTAATATTTATTGTAGACTGCCTTTGTAAAGCCAGATGTCATTTTTCTTGACATGTTTAGATTACACTTTCTAGTTATTTATCTCAGTGGTCTCTTAATTATCTAGTTTATTTCATTAATTTAATATGTATGTTAGACTAGTGTTGAGATCATTGTAGTTCCTCTTATTTTCAACGGCAGTTAAGTATAGACATAAACAAAACACGCATGAAACTAGCCTGTCAATAAAGGAAAGATGGATGCTATTGCTTTTATTCATCTATGGAGTCAGTGGCCTTTGTGTCTTCCTGCAGCAGGTCCTCATTTTTCCTCATTTTGCTATTAAAATCCACCCTGAAGGTTATCTGTGCTTCTGATTTTTCCCATTGCTATGTTAAATAAAGGCCAGAGCAACTGCTCCTGCAAGTTACTGTAATATCCACTGTTTTTACTCAAAATATCAGATGATTTAATTTAAAATATATCATTTTTCTTCACATAATATAGAGAAACTCTGTAATTTTGATAAATCAAATGTTTAGCTGCAAAGTTTACTGAATTACTTACCCCACCGAAACTGAGTGATTTATAATCATTTGCATTACAATCTGAAAATACAGTTCATGATTCATCCAGACCAAGCCACCTCATCCTAAGGGTTTTCTGGGCAGGCTAGAATTAAGTTAATATTAGCAAGGACAAAGCTGTAAGGAACTGCATAGAAAAAGGCTCTATGGAGAAAGAGTACTTGAAAATTTATGTATTCCCTAATTTCAAATTTATGAACCCAAATGCTGGCAACCAGAGTGCATTGCAGAAGTGAACTATGTGAGGTCTTTTAATTGTCAGGGAGAAAGATCCAGAGAGTGGGGCAGTTTAATAGAAACCTCTGTTTCCTGAAATAAAATGGCTTTATTTCAGACAACTGTTTTTATAGCAACAGGTCTCTTTGATGAACATAGAGTTTGGTTCTTAATTTTCTTTCTGGGCAGGGCAGTTATTGACATTTGTGACCAACTTCCTAACACATAGACTGGAGATATTTTCCAACAGGAGTTTCTGATTTTTTTATTTTCAAAACATATTTTTAGAATGTCAACTACCTTAAGCATTTTGGTATCAGTCTCTTTAGTTAGTAATATTTGATTTTTAAAGCTCAAATAAAGATACGCTGTTTCAAAAGTTTTACTTATGTCATCAGAACATTTCATACAGATATTTAGTTTATAAAATGCTGATGCAACAATATATCTCCCCAGGCAACTTCACTTCTTATTTGTTGTGATTGCTCCACAGTTCAATTCTCCATTAGATTCTAACAGTGATTTTCGATTCCTACTAATGATATTTCAATCTCAAAGACTATAAGCAAAGTCTTCTGCCATTTCATATTAAAAATAATACTTTAGAAATTATTAATTTAATAGTTAATATTTACTAACATTAACCATTAAAAAATCCCTCTAGTATAAAATAGACTTTCACAGATGACTGGATTGAGGCCATAGTACAGGGTCATAATTACAGTCAGATCAAATGAACTTTTTCAAGGAGAAACAATGCTTAAAAAAAAGATACAGAATTTTCTTTGCTATGTCCTCTGCACAAGCCTTCCTTCCCAGTGGACTGAGCAGGCTCCTTTAGCTTTAACTTTATACAGCACCATTATAATATTGTAACTGTCAGCTTTCTCTCTTTCTTTCTTTCTTTCTTTCTTTCTTTCTTTCTTTCTTTCTTTCTTTCTTTCTTTCTTTTTCCTTTCCTTCCTTTTTTCCTTTCTTTCTAAATCTGAATATCACATTCATACATGTGCCTCTGATCCTAGTTAAAAAAACAAACAAACAAAATCCCAACCATAGCACAAATAAAGAAGATACTTACCCCAAGTGCAGAGGGTGCCAGCTCGGCTCAACCAGCTACTGAAGAGAAGGGAGATGCATCTCCTTCCCTCAGGCTAATGTGGCTCTGGGCTTAGTATCGCAGTGCCCTGACTTTTATCAGCTGCCAAACAGTGACATCTGATGTGCTTCCTGTCCGTCTACCTATGCTGGCATGCCAAAGTAAGAGTCCACAATCTAAACAATATCTCAGATGTCTTGGTGATATTTCAGGAGTAGGATTACATGAGCTTTTCTCGAAGGCCTCTTTATTTTAGACATGAGTTTTGACTATAAGCTGACAAGCTTATACAGAGTGAGAGTGAAAAAGGAGGAAAGTGGAAGAAAACTTGATTTGTACATGTATTGAGGTGGGGTTTTGGGATCTTCCCCATTGGTGGGACAGGAATGAAAGGGGAGAGAAGACTGAGGATGAATTTTTTCTTCTCAAATGAGAGGACCAGTAGGGGAAAGATGTCAAATTGAATTGTGCATCACCCTGCATCTGAGACCTTCTCTTTTTCCCTTGCTTGTAATAATGGGGGTGAAGTCTGATTCAAACAGTGCATTTCAGGAGGAGGCATAGTCAGGGCACATGCCAGACAGTAGAGAGACGGTGGCCTCTGACCCGAAGGTTGACAAGTGGAAAGTGTCATTTGGTTTAGCAAGTTTTCTGATTCTACCTGCTATAGGTGTCAGAGACCTAGCATTTTTATTTTCAGAGAGTTTTGAAACCCTTAAATGATCAAACAAATAAGATTAAGTGTGTATTGCTTTTATGTCCCATCCTCACTTTACACCAAACACAGTTTTCTTTCTTTCTTTCTTTCTTTCTTTCTTTCTTTCTTTCTTTCTTTCTTTCTTTCTTTCTTTCTCCCTTTCCTCCCTCTCTCCCTTCTTTTTTCCTTTCTTCCTTTCTTCCCTTCCTCCCTTCTCTCTTTCTTTCTTGATGGTCTTGGAGAGCATTATGTTTAGGCTTCCATTTTGTGCAGGTATGTAAATAACTACAGAGGAAACAATTTTCAAGTCAAAAGAGATGGTGAATGAGGTAGGTGGCTGAGGATCAGGCCAATCAATTTGGATTATTTCCTTTCAATGTCTTCAATTCTCTCAGCTCACAAGTAGGTACTCAAATCTTGTTTTAATTAAGATGTGTGTTAGGGTTAAAACATCTGCTTGGACACACCTGAGTCATATAAAATTCTCCCTAATAGACAGGATTGATGCTATGTACCTATAGTCCCAGATACTCAGGAAGATAAGATGAGAAGATTGCTGAAGCCACTTATGAAGCAAAGTAAGAAATGACCTAAAAATCATTCTCCACAACTGATCATGTCCAGGTACCTTGTATTGCTATTCAGGGAAAACTGGGCACTTGCTGTCTTGGGACATGGCTGTTGCTTTAGCAGAAAAGTATGCCAGACTTCATGAGTAGGTGGTTGCCTACAAAGTCTTATTTCAGGAATCTCCCAAAAATATTTTAGCACACCTGTTCTCTGATATCTCAAATTTCTTCAAGAGGAACAAGCCCTTCCAATTCACAGTATCAAGACATAAAAATGTGAGTTACATAAAAATAAGCCAGAAATACAGCATTTCCTGTAAGAGATTGTTTTAAGCATTTTAAATGAGCAATCAGTGGTTGACATTTGACTCTGCCTGAGGAGAATAATGATTTGGACAAAGAAGAGGAGCTATAAGATTTGAGATGTCGTAGAGTTAAACTTTGGGATATATCTTACCATCTAAGTGCAGAGGATGTCAAGGATAGACCCCTATACCCACAGTTTTGCACAGAGTGGCTTCTAGTATGCTATAGTTGAGAAAGAATTTTAGTTCAAGTATCCTCTGTCCATCCAGCATTGCCAGTTCTTATGGCTAGGTATTAGTAAGATGCAAAATATGTGATAACCCCCATGATTCAAGACAAGAATTTCATCTTACACTACAGGATCAAGGGATAATTTAGAAAGGGGAAGTATGCTGGCTAGTTTTATGTCAACTTGACACAGCATTTCCTGTAAGAGATTGTTTTAAGCAGTTTAAATGGGCTATCAGTCGTTGACATTTGACTCAAGTGTCATCTGAGAGGAAGGAACCTCTATAGAAGAAAATGCCTTCATAAAATCCTGCAAGCATGCGTGTGTGTGTGTGTGTGTGTGGGGGGGGGGTATTTTCTAGATTAGTGACAGATGGGAGAGTGCCTAGGCCATTGTGGGTAGTGACATCTATGGGCTGGTGGTCCTGGATACTATAATAAAGCAGGCTGAATGAGCCATGGGAACAAGCCAG